CATTCTTCACATGCAAACTTTGCTCTAACAATTATTTCGGAACATTTATCTCACAAGAGAACTTTCTTCAAACGGTTGATTACAGTCAATTTACAGTCAAATGGAAATAACTTCCTTCTCTTTAATCTACATTGTGAATACGATTTTATTTCATGTTTGTTGTTGTATTTTATTCAATATATATTTATTAGTTAACAAATTGGAGTTGATGTTATTATTTCTTGAATCCTGTACGTGAAAGAATCATGAATATAAGTAGTAGTCGTACCTATATATTTGGTGTTCCTGCTACATTTAGTGAATCGACCCGACGCTATATTTAGTACTTACGCTACAGCTGGTAGCCCCGACGTGATTATTCTCAACGTGGTTCTTGTGCCAACAACACCTCAAAAATCAACATTCAACATTTCAACTTGGGGCAAAATTTTTTTTTTCTACCACGTGCATTTAATAACTACCCAAGATGGCCGACCAAGATGGCAATGAAGCGACTATATTGCCTAACCTGCATGTGTTTAACACAATCAACGTACATGTTTGGTTCTCCCAGTTAAACGCCATTTTCCAGGCAAAAAGAATTCACTCCCAAACGGCACGCTTCGCCTACGTTCTTGAAAAGCTGTCGCCGGAGGTTGCTTTTGAAGTATCAGACTTGTTGGACAACGTCCAAAAGATAAACCTTTCGACACATTAAGGGAAGCTATAAAATATAGGACAGGTAAATCCGAGGAGCGCCGCATATATGACCTGTTCAACACTCTTCAATTGGGCGACAGTAAGCCTACATTACGTAAAATGAAGAACTTTCTAGGCAAAAACACAATGTCGGAATCACTGCTCTGCAAGCTTTGGATGGACAAACTTCCCACCCACACCGCCCAAATCCTAGTGACTCTTCCTGATGATTTAGACTTAATGAAAATGGCTGAGATCAAAATCACTCAAGCTAAAGCCTTCAATAACATGCACATCTTCGAACCAAACGGTTTGATAAATTACTATAGCCAATTCATCCCTAACTGTTCCCACATCTTTGACTTCACTTGAGTTGTTATCAGTATACTTAACAGTGTAAAGCATTAAGAACATCTTGAAACCTTTATCAAATGTTTGTATCAAAGATGTAATTATTGTTCTGATGCTCACATAGTGCTGTCTTGGTTATGGTCCGGCAACATAAAAACCTTAAACCAGTTTCTCAAGTATAAATTAAAAAACATCAAAGTTGTCTAGAAGAGTTAGATTCTCAACATTGATTATGAATAAAATTCAAATATATGACTTTCTCGGAAAACCGTGCCGATTTAATTACTCGGGCATTTTCTCTGGAAAGTTTAGACAAAACTTTAAATTTTGGATTTCTGGTCCTTCGTGGTTAAATTGGATTCGGTAGCTTGGCCTGAAAGTGGTCTGCATTGCTTCAGTGTGTAGGATTTTAATTCTGCATCATTTCAAATAGCTGAAAATAACTTGTTCAATTTTGTACAAAAAGTGGATCACAGAGACTTGATATTTCTCTGACACCTGATTGGTCAATTGATACTAATATTTTTTCAACTACGTTCGAATTGTATCGACCTAGTTTCTGATTTGAACGAAAATACAATTCCGCCAAAAATCTGTCTATGTGTTTCGAGCCTATCACGTGACATGCAACATTATAAATACCAGCGCTATCTTCAACTCTCTCTTTCTTGTCTTCTAAGACCACAGTAATGCAGGTCGCTTTGTACCTTTAAGGGAAAACGCTATAAAGACGCTATGAAACACACACAAACACGCGCACACACGTACGTACGAACAGTGAACATCTCTTAACTGATCAACTACAAGAAACAGAAACTTATTTACTTCAAAATCTGCTGGAACTATAAGTTACGATTCAACATATTCTTAGCTTTCCAGAATTCTCTCACTAATATGCAACTCTCTTCGGTGAACGATTTAGGCAGCAAGTTAATTCAACTTTTTGATATTCAAATGAAGATTAAATTTTTTCTCAATTTCTTTGAACTCACCTTACACCAAATTTCAGCCTACAACACCTTATCGACGAAGATTCTTTCCATTGAAACCTACTATTATTTCATGAACTGAAATCTTTTCTGTGAGTCCAGATAAAAATATATATATCTTCCTTAAAGTCTTAACTAATTCAAATAACAATTAAAGGTGACTAACTCCTGCTGTATTGTTGCAACTCTTACTATATAAAAATCACACACTTGATAGCTTTGTATGTTATACAGTAAATTGAAGATTGTTATTATAAAAACAGTTTTTGTGTTGTTTCTCCTTTTTGTTTTTCGTTTGCTGACATTTGTAAATTATAAAAAAATACGGATTGAATTGAGGCCGTTCAATACCCCTACAAGTGAATGCAATAAGTAGGTTATTCAAAACCAAGTATAGTACTTTAGAGTCAATCTAGATTATTAAGAATATTAACATTAATGTTCAAATTCACTAATAAGTTAAAATATTCTGACGCAGATACTAAGCAAGATGCTAAGCTGTATCTGCTGAAATTGATGAAGAACCAATCATTTGGTAAAAAATACAATATTTACAAAATCCTCAAACTGAACATTTCTATATAAGTTAAAATAAGCACAAAATAATGATGTCATATTTCTATATATAAAAGTCAAAATATGCACAAAATATGGCTGATTTTCCTCTTTCTTATAGAAATTTCAAAGTGCGCATGAAATGTAGCTATTTTACGTATTTCTAAATAAAAAAGAGAAAATATGCATAAAATAATGGTAATTTCCTCATTTCTATATAAAAAAAATGTCAAATATGTTGTTTTTCCTATTTCTAAAAAACACAAAATAGTAGAAAATAAAAAGTCAAATATGCATAAAATTCAGATCAAATGTGTTGGAGCCGATAAGATTTTCATATTTGAATGAAAAAAAGAGGTTTAGAATAACAATGTCAAAATACGCATAAAATATAGCTTTTTAAAAATAGAAAAAATATTTTTTAGATAAAAGACACAAAATAGGCCTTGATAAAAAAGTCAACATATGCATAAAATCTGTATCAAATGTAACATTTTAAAATATTTCTTAAATAAAAGGACTAAATCTGTACATATATATCTAAACTGTAGCATATGTAACTTTTTTATATTCTTAATGAAACAGATTAAAGCTTTTCCAAATGTAACTTTTTTTTTTTTAGATATTTCTTAATGAAAAAAAGACTAAACTTGAATTAAGTGTAACTTTTTTGATATTTATTAAAGAAAAAGACTAACTCTAAGATATTATATCTTAAAGGCCATATGGAAGGTCTCAAAGTGAAAAAAGTGCATTTTTTTAAGGTTAGTTGACAATTTTTGGAAACAGAAGAAAACATTAAGAAATTAATTTATGTCCGCTTACAAAAAACATGTCTTATGATTGTCAGGAGGAAGAAGGGGTCAGTTGTTATATTTGTTAATTTTGAAAGGAAAGGCAGAATAGAAAAACTGATTTGTGTCTGCTTGTCAAAGAGCAGAAATAGCTCCGCCGACCTTGGAAGTGTAAACAAATCGAGAAATAGGATTTTATCCTTTGCTCAAAGAAATTGAAATAAGAAACCAACCTGTAAGTACGATTAAGTGAAAAAGATATGAAGACAGACATTTGCTCATAGCGAAGGAAACAGCTGGTAAAACTGATTGCATAGAAAAGACGAGGGGCTGAGAAAATTCGTTGTTGAAAATGAATGACAAAAATAAAGACCGCCCACATTTGGTTTAAAAATCAGATTTGCCAAAGAGACTGTCGAAGTGGTGGGCTTACTAAGAGAGGAGGTGCAATAAAGAGAAATTAACTTCGTCCATTTGGAAGTAATGGTGTTAGACATAGATAAAAGAAGGAATGAGTTATACGGACGGGAAGATACCTGCAATCATTACCAATAAGAAGAAGGGATCTCCCAAATTTGGAGAGATAACTAATATTGCGAACCAGAAAACAATTGTGACACTGAGCTGTCGGCCCGTGGTCAACTCACAGTCGCGGCGCGAAACTGCTATTTCTCCTACCGGCTTTTTAGGGTTAACTCTTAGTCGCTGCCACCAGCCTGTGTCCTGGTCGATCGGTGGTCGTCGCTACCCGGCGGAATCCTTTGGTCAGGGTACCAAGTGGGATGGTCGGTCGATGCTAACGGCTTCACACCAGCTGCAAACGGTTTGACACCAGCTCCGTCGTTCCCAGCTCAACTTCCAACGTCTGGTTATTTTGATCTTTAGAAGTAACTGATGAGTCTAACTGATCTCAAGTCTAAAACCTACCCATCCGTCGTGATTTTGATTTGTAGGCAGACGAGATCAATCAGGTGTCGGGCCGTATTGTAAGATGAGTCTAGAGGCTGGAGCAAATAAAACCCCAAGAATTCTCATTCCCAGCGGCCAAAATTTTTACGAATACCATATAGCCAGATCTCTCAGATCTTTTGGTCACTTTGCGTCTTCTTAACCAGCACTTTTTACAAACAATCAATTGTCAAAGTCTGCTATCTGGTCCCTTCATAGCTTCTCTCTATCCCGTATCGAAAATATTTCGGTATATTTTCTCATGCCAAAACTTTTTATAATTACCATATGGCCATGCCTTGCCGGCACTTAAGATGATATCTTGTTCTCAGGTCTTTCGTTAATCAGAACTTTTACAAATATCATCAATCGTCAAAAGCTCGCATAAGGCCTTTTTGTGAGTCCAATGTTTACGCCAATTCTCGTGGTTTTGAGAAAATTAACTCGATCTTATTTTTAACGTAAAAAATAAAAATCTCGGGGTATCTTCTTTTCCGTTCTCAGTATTTTCTTGTGTAATTTTTATGGTTAATTAATTAATTTATTTCCATAGCTAAATAGTGTCACACAATGAACTCTTGTTCAAATTGATACAGAAACCTGGGGAATCCCCAAATTCTCAAACACTACCAGTCGCCACTCTAGTCTTAAGTCGAAGTCAATATAAGCAGAGCGCTTAGGCGACCCAAGAGAGAGAGAGAGAGAGAGAGAGAGAGAGAGAGAGAGAGAGAGAGGCGAAGAGCAGACGAAGGAGCTACTGAGATACACGTGACTTGCTGCCTAGACAACTCCTGTCTTTGAGTTCTCTTCTAAGAAATAGCACCGATAGGCAAAGTGTCACTATAGAGATTTTAGTGGAAAGGGTTCATTTTTGTTAGCCAAAGATCTACATAAATCAAATCGAAAATTAACGCGAGGAATTTTTCATTTTTATTTCGTCTACGAAGACATTACTAAAAATAGTAATGTCTTGACGATATTCGATCCCCACTAGCTCTGTGATCAAGAAACACAACATGGCTGGAGCGAGGTGTGGACTGGGACGGACAGCGACCAACGAACCGTTGACCAGCGACATTATCGAGCAAGGGTGGAATTGACCTACAAACCAAGACATCTAGTATACGCAACGTGGGAGTGGTTCTATAGATATTTATTAATGAAAAAGTATAAAAACGTACAAAATGTAACATTTATTCTATTACTTAAAAGAAAATAAACAGTATTTTTTTTATATTTCTTAACGAAAAGACTTTATCTGGTGCAAATGTATGTTTTTCTTATTTCCAATAAAAATACTAAATCTGAACAAAATATTAATTTTTTGTTATTTCTTAATGACTACATCTGTTCAAAATGTAATTTTTTTATATTTTCTAATTAAAAAGACTAAATCTGTCCAAACTGTGCATTTTCTTAATGAAAAAAGTTTAAATCTGAAAAAAATATAACACTTTAATGAAAAAGACTAAATCTGACATTTTAATTAAAAAAAATCTGACAAAAATTTAACTTTTGTCGATATTTCATAATGAAAAGACTAAAACTACTTAATATATATTTTTTATATTTCTTAATGAAACAGACTAAATCTTTTGTAAACATTTCTTAATGAAAAAAGATTAACCTGAAAAGATATAACTTTTTTGATACTTCTTAATGAAAAAGAATAAATCTAAAGAAAATATAACTTTTTGTAGATGTTTCGCAATGAGAAAGACTAAACCTGATGTAGTTGTAACTTTATTTCTTAATGACAAAGATTCTATCTAATGAAAATGTATCTATTTTTGCCATTAATTAATGAAAACACTACAACTCAACAAAATATAACCTTTTTGATATTTCTTAATGAAAAAGACTAAATCTGTACAAAATGTAATTTTTTTTATACTTCTTAACAAAAAAGTCTAAATCTGTAAAAAAATGTACGTTTTTTGAAATTTCTTAATGAAAAAAGATGAAACCTGGACAAAATATAGCTATATTTCATATTACTTACTGAAAAAGACTAAATCTGGTGAAAATTAACTTTTTTATATTTCTTAATGATAAAGTTTAAATTTGTACAAAATGAAAATGACTAAATCTGATGAAAATGTAACTGTTTTTTTATTTCTTAATGGAAAATACTAAATCTGAAGAAATATAACATTTTTGATATTTTTAATGAAAAAGTCTATATCTGTATAAAAATGTAAGTTTTTTCATACTTTATAATCACTAAATTATACTTTATAACCACTAAATTTGTACAAAATGAAACTTTTTAAAATTACTTCATGAAAAAAGATTAAACCTGAAAATATAACTTTTGTTGAAAAAGGCTAAATCTCATGAAAATGTAACTTTTCATATTTCTGAATGAAACTGTGACGTCACCCAGGCCTCTCTTCCCCTGTGCTATCCTGTGACGACCAATGTGACTTGGTATTGGTCGATGTGAAAGAAAGCATTTATTTAAGTAAGAAAAGGATAAATAAAACAAGAGTTGTCTCTCTTTAACTGTTTATTTTAGTATTCCAAAGTTCACTGGAAGAATGTTTTTATGAGAGTTTCTTATAATGACTTTTCTCAATAACGAAGATTATGTGAGTGTATAATTTCTGAATGAATGTTCAAATATGTGAGTGGTGTGTGTGTGAGAAGAAAATTTGGCGCATGGTTTTTTTTCAACTGTCGTGGATTTGTTTGGCAGCTGAATTCTCACTAATTAGCTAAGAAAAATTCTTTTTATATAGGTGACTATAGGCTCCAGATAGCTGCGCGGGAAAAGTTACTCTTCACGTGGAGTCGATCTGATTGGTTGGCATTGACCAATCAGCGATCGAGTTTTGAGGAAACTTAAGAAAACTTCAGTAATCCGTTTCTCCCAATAATGCACAAAATTGACTACGTGAAAATAGAGCGATTACAAAATTGTCGCATTGCTGCGATTTGTAAATTGTCTATAATAACTTGGTGGGAATTTATTAACCAATGATTTCTTGTCGTTGTATGTGATTTGTATTTGTGTATGTATGTATGTATGTGCGATATAGATCGGCGCACTGACAATTACACGTCCACAGTGCTAAGGTCAGGAAAATGTAAGAAGACAAAAAGAAGCACTATATAAAGAATTTTAAAAGTTGCAAACCGACGCTATCATTTTTCCATCTAAAAGAATGTGATTAAAAAATGACGGTAGCTATTGCTGTTCCGGTGCACCAAACAGCATCACCAAGAGCGACAAATAGCTTGTCCAAAATATCAATTCATTCGGAGCTAAATTAGCAAAAAAATAAAATAAAATAAATAAATAAATAAATAAAATAAATAAATAAAAGAATAAAATAAAATAAAAGATAAAATAAAAGGAAATAAACGATTTTCAAAAATCGACCTTATGCATCCTTATTTGATGATAAGCAGATAGCTTATCATCAAATAAGGATGCACCCTACTGACATAGACAAGACCGCCATAGTATTGTCCCTTGGACTCCATGAATACAACTTCATGTCCTTAGGTCTTAAGAATGGGGCTGTTAGATTTCAATGTTTTATGGACAAAATATTTTGTGATATAAACTGTGTGTTTGTCTATATAGATGATATTCTTACTTTCAGTGACCATCAATCATCACACAAGAAAGGCATTCAAACTGTTTACATAATATACATAATAATAATTTCCACTAACAAAATCAACTTTCGATGTCGAATCTATAGATTTCCTCGGATATAATATTAGTGTAGACGGTATCAAACCAACAACTTATATATGTAAAATACATAAATTATTTTCCTAACGATAACAAAAGTTTACGTAGATATCTAGGCATGACTAACTTCTATAGAAAAGTAATACTCAATTTCGCAGAAGTAGTGTCAAAAGAATACGACAAACCATAAACAGTGTATTGACGCTTAACGAATACGAATTAGAAGCCTAAAATAGCATTATTATATTCCACGAGACTATACCAGATAAGCACGCCCTCAACAAGACTGCACCACTTATCAATTGGTTACTGACGGCAGTAAATACCCTATTCCAATAGATTTCTTTAAAAAAGAAAAAGCTATCACAAACACGAGTCAAATATTCCACATTTAACAGAGAGCTTCTCGCTGCATACCTCACAAATTTAGATTTTCGGCACATAATAGAACGTCAGCAATTGTTGCTACAGACGGATCATAAACCTTTATGTGATGTCTTTCATAGCCTCACCCCAGCAAAATCAGAAAAACAGCAGAGACAACTAACCTTACTGAGTACATAGTCGACATAGAAGATGTTAAAGCACAAGAAAATATAGTAGCTGATTGTTTGTCACAGTCCACATTGAAGTCGATCTTTGTGATTTAGCATCTGTAGCAGACGCTTAAGCGGTAGATTCAGACATACACAATTTCCTTAACTTATCGTGATGATTATATTTTTTTATATAATCATCATAATAATCTATTTGTACTGTGCGACACATCCAAATATTGCTTTACGCAATGCACCAGGTATATGTGGATATATACCTGGTGCATTGCGTAAAGCAATATTTGTTAGTATACATTCCATATCACATATCAATTGGTCATGATTAAAATTTTATCATTATCATTGTTATTAGTTTGAAATAAAAAGAGTAAAAGTTTGACTATATATTGTAGTTATTCATTAGAACCTTCCATGGAAATGTCTTAACCACTCAGAGTCAAACTACTTTTTTAAATATTTTTTCTTTGGGAAAAAACGAGTTTCCAACCTTGTATTAATACAGTTATTTATTCTGAAATCATACTTATTATAAAACCCAGGTTGTGTGTGTGTGTGTACGTTTATATATTGGATCGGATTTCCTACATTTTTCAACCGATTTCAACAAAACCTCACAGGACTACGTAAAATTACCTTGCGGTGGTTCTGACAGTGCCAAAAATTGAAAAACACAATTGTTTTTGCACAAAATCAATTTGAAAACACGATTAAGAGGCATCGCTTTCGCGGAATGAAAGGGGGGCAACTCATATCGAGTTATACTTATAAAACCCAGGTTGTTTGCGCGCGCGCGTGTGTGTGTGTTCGTTTATATATGGGATCGGATTTCCTACATTTTTCAAACCGATTTCAACAAAACTTCACTTTTTTTGGCAGGTAGTGTTTCTTATTGTCTTGCACACTTTTTTCTTTATTTTTACATTCAGAATGCTTTAAAAATTCCATTTACAAGACAATTGTTTATAATAAAATTCTATTCAATTTTAACGATTGAAAACAATGTTTTTGTTTGAATTTGAGTTTGACCAATTCGTAAAAAAAAAAAAAAAAACTAATTAAGACATGCGTGTCTGTCAACCTTAAACAATAATCTTTGTCAATTTTATTTTTCAGTCTTTATGATGGTCGATACTTGATCTATCTCTTACTGTTACATTCCCGGGCAACGCCGAGCTCTACTGCTAGTTGTAAATAAATATGTTGGTTCCAATCATGGTAAGAATGAATATTTATTGTATCATTAAAATAAAAATGTGGTACAAGGCCAAAAAGGAGGATGGGAAAGGTTACTCATCACTGGTCTAACTTTAACTTAGCTAGTCATATTCACTGAGCCAAGCATACATTATAATAATCTTCCCACCATAATACCGCATTTATACAGAAAACATCCATAACACGATCACCAAAACAACGTGCGCTCTACCTGAGATCCCAAACTAATTCCCCATATTTATAAACATGTAGCGAGAGAGGTAAAAAGTATAAATTATTTTTATTTACGGTTAAATGCGACTAAAAAGCAAGTTAAATGTCCGAAAAATATGGTGAAAATGTGTAGAAAAAATCAAATCAAATTAAAATTACGAAATGATCCCACCGCTCCAGGGGCCTATGCTTTCTGTCGCCCAAAGAGAGGGAATGAAAACAGAAAATGTTTGGAAAAAAAAGAAGACAATAAAAAGAGGCCAATGACTATTCACTCCCTAGCGAAAAAAAAAAATTCTACACTAGGGCGGGCATTTTTTTTTTTGCAAGAACAAGTACTTCAACTAGCAAGCTCGTAATGTCACTCGAGGTTAGTATCATTCTCACGCACCAGTCGTGCTTCCAGCAAAGTCCTCGGAAGAAAACATCTCTCTCTCTCAACATTGATCTTGGCCTTCAGCTGGTGATTGAAGAATGCAACCAATATGATGGGAAGAGAGAGAGACAATGCTCTGTGAACTTCTAGTCGTCCACATCACCATTCTCATTACGGCTCGCAAGCCAACGAGCTCACATTGCTACAAACATAACTGACATCAAGGGCAAATAATTCTGTGCAGAATGCGAACTATGTGGCCTTCAATACGACATACGACCCGACAGTAAAATAAAGCCGTGCTCAATGTACTACTCCGTTTCACCATACCGGACGCATTTTGATGAAGCGACCAGTCTCGCTGCGAAAGACATTTTGCCGATCCAGAGCGAGTTCTGGATCATCAGTCAGGTGAGTAATGCATTTCAAGCTGGGCGACCAAAGCCATATGTAGTAAAAGTCCTCCCATGTTAGGCCGTGCACCTCGATCAGATCATCGTGAATAGTCCCTCTGACTAGGACCCGATATAATGCCTCTTTCGACAATGACCTGTTCTCAGAGAAGCCAGCCTGTATCAGAGAAAGAACCTTCAGCACAAGACATCATTCGTGATGGATCACTCGACGCTGGGCAAAAGGTGGGCATTCTCCTTCCAGAAAGTGCCATTCCCATCAACTTGTGTACACATCCGATCCAGAAAATGCAGTCGTAAAATATCACGATGTGTCTCTATGTCCGCATTGGTTGACCACTCTCGGAAGGATGGAGACAGCAGAACTCGTGATGCACCATAGGAGCTTTTCTGTCCCAGACGAGACGAAACAGAGTTTTCTCTAGATTGTCTAGAGTGTTTCACGGGAGTCATAGAACTGAGAAAAGATAAAGGATGAGGGGGTAGATGTACGTAATGCACATCTCGGCCCTCCCCTTCAACGAAAGATTCCTTCGCAAACACAGATTAGCCGTAGCTACGTCCTTCTCCAGAACTTATGACTTATGATTGTCCCATATTACCGTCTCATACGTCCGGATTCTGCTTTTGACTTCGTCGGTCTCGGCACTGCTCATTACAAGCGGGGAAAGGCTGTGTACTTGGCTGAGGTGCTGGCACCAAATAAATTGATCAAGGACCGAGTTCGCCTTCAACCTGCATGGGAACAATGCAAGCACATAAAGCAAGGGCGAATGGATCTTGACAAGATGAGGTGCTTTGATCTTACCACATTCACTTCCACCATAGCACCGGGGATCGCATACAAGGGGTGAATCCAGTTCGACTCTAATCCAGCCCTGGACAAGAAAGCCTCCAAGAAACGATGATCCACCCAATCAAAAGCCTTGGACGAATCCAAATTGATCAGCGTGGCTTCTCCATCAACTTTCTCAATGATCGTGCGAATCAAATGAAGATTATCGTGGATCATCGGACCCTTTACGGCACAAGTCTGTTCAGGGAATACAAGACGATAACGCGCAACCTGTACACGGTTCGCCAGAAACTCGACCAAAATCTTTAACTTTGAATTAAGGGCCGAAAATTACCAATCCCTCCTCTCCATGCTTTTTCTTGTGCAGAGGCTGGTGAAACGCCAGCGCCAGGGAATAGTCCTCTGTCCCCTGTGGTCGAAGAAAAATTCCAGCAAGTTGGCAAACATAAGCGACAGCCTCAAGTACACTTCGTAGGGTAGACTATCGATGCCCGAAGTCTTATCCTTCCCGACCTTCTTCAACGCTTCCCAGTTTTCCTCCTTCGTTATTCGACCTTCGCAACCAGCCGCTTCATTCGCAACCCAGTCCGCCAAACAATTATCGAACTAAATTGCGCTCTGGCCGAGCTCCAAGGTGAAAAGCTACTGAAAGTATTCACGAAAATCCCCGCATATACCCTCATTCGCCATCAGGGTTCTCCCATCCAGCGATCTGACACGTGCAATGTATCTTCAGAGGCCATATTCGTTGTCGCGGCAGACATTCTTTTCAACATAGCTCGAACTACAAGAGCTTGGTTCTTTTTTGTTAAGCAGTTCCCGCTTATTGTTAGTAACAACTGGTCCCGGAAATACTTCGCAAAATAGTGTTGAATTTATAGTAGCCAGCCGAACAAGGCTTAGCCATATATAAGTTTATGCGTCCCCGGACGAACCTATGGTCCGAGTAGACTACAGTATGAAAACCTTGGACAACTTAGGAGATTTAAGTCGAGTCTCCTAACTAGAACACGGTCGATATATGTAGAATGCTGTCCAAGTCCAATCAACCCATTTCGGGTGTTCATTTCGAAATTTATCGACCAGATCAAGTCTTGAAAGTTTTTTTTACATCAGAAAAAATGTTAATACTCAAACCAGCATCCCTACGATCTAATTCAGGATCAAGGATGGCGTTCCAATCACCCATTAAAATTACCCGTTTCGACGATATCACAAAATGATCGATTCGCTGAAAGAAACTTCCCGCTCTCCACGGTCATTGGGCGCATAAACTCCAATCAGTCGGAACGCTTTCTTCTGTATAGTAACACCCAACATGTATAATCTGCCCGTCGAATCTGCGAAAGCAAGGCGTCCACAGAACGACTTACTAATCAGGAAACACCCCTCGAACGTTTATCAAAATTTGTTGAGAAGAGGCGGAACCTCTTCGGTAGCACACTCTCATAATCACTTGCAATAAGGTGGGTCTCATGTATACAACAGATATTCACACCGAAGCGTTGGAGATCGCGAGAGGGATGAGTTTTTTAGACTCGGGCCTCAACTTTCAGCCATTCAAGTTTGCTAACCGGTGATACATGATCGGTAATTCCTGACGTTGCATTTCGGGGATCAGGATACCAACGGTTTGTCCAATGTAGCCTTGACTCATTTCAGTTTTAATCGTACCGTCCTGGGAGAGACCCCCGATGTTACTAGGAAAGATTACTTTGATAGAGATTGGTGTATGAAAAGGGATCCTCCCAACAAAACTGTTTCAATTTCTTACATGATTCTTCTTCAATCATTGGTAAAAGAGGGAAATATTTTGAAGTCATTGTTAGCCTCTCCCAGCATGGACCATATCTGCCGTGTTCCCGGACCAACACGTATTACAGTTAGGACACTCTTAGCTTGAGGGAAATTCCTTTGGACTTCCGCACTTTTATTTTTAATTTTAGTTTTGGAGAACCTTGAGTTCTTACAGTTTTTGTGCCTGTAGGTTTTTCTTATATATTTAGTAGTTTTTTTGTAAAGTAGCTGCTCTTCTGAGCTTCCCACGGAGATCCTCTGTGGTCCTTTGCTTACAGTTTCTGATGTTGTTGGGGTGGGAAAGTAGTAGAATAGATGGTTGATTGGGTGATGAGTTAGGTGAGTTGGTTTTTCGTAGTGGTGAGGATTTGGGAATGATGATCATGTGGAGGATATGGATTTAGTTTTATGTCTGTTTTCTTCATGGGGTAATGCGATTTTAGTACAGTATGAAGTACTTCTTCAAATTAAGGGAGAGGGATGATCTCCAATTATTTACTTGAAAATAGAGATTATGACAGCCAACACCGATCTGAAGCTATGAATTCGGCGCCAGCTTTGGGTTGTTTTCACGCTATTTTTGGTGGTGAAGTTGCACTGTACGGTGGTGAAGTTGTCACGGAGATGAGTTGGTCGGTATTGAGTCGGCGGTGATGAAAATGTCCCATCCCGTAATTAAAAGTACTCGGTATTATTTCTTTCATCATATCCTTTACAGACCCACGAGTTTGTTGGGTCTTTCCTCTTTTTCATGGGTGGAGAATATGGCATTTACCGCCCTTGATAAATCTTCCTCGACCATTTTGAACAAGGATGGGTTGATAAAAAATCCAAAAGAGACACTAGACCATTGTCTGAATGAAAACAAAATGGGTAAGGAAGGAAAAATCCGACAAATCGATTCGATCACGGTGCGTTCGAAAAGAAATCGCGTCAGACACAACCAGTGGAAAAAGTTAAAATAAGACAATCCTGGTAGGAATGTATATTTATTGTATTTTGACATACAATTGTGGCACAAAGTCAAAGGGGTAGTGAGGAAGGGCTGGCCGTCACTGTCTACTTTACATCTAGCTAATCTGATTCACAACCCATTCATTCGTACAAGTGACACATTCACCACAAGAAAACATCCTTCTACATCCAATCCGACATTTACCAAAATACCACATATCTACAGGGATCCTACACACAAAAAACATGACATAAAAGTTAATAATGCATAAATTGACATTTTTTTATAAAAAATATACAGTGTATCACAAAAGTGAGTACACCCCTCACATTTCAAATATTCAAGTATATCTCTTCATGGGACAGCACTGAAAAAATTACCTTTTGACACAATGAAAAGTAGTCTGTCTGCAGCATATATAACAGAGTTAATTTCTTTTCCCCTCAAAATAACTCAAAATATAGCCATTAAAAGATAAATCCCTGGCAACAAAAGTGAGTACACCCCTAAGAAACTACACCCCTAAATGTCTAAATTGAGTACTGCTTTTCATTTCCCCTCCAAAATGTCATGTGAGTCATTAGTGTAACTATGCCCATGTGTTCATGGGGAGCTGGTGTATTCAAATTTGTAGTGCAGCTCTAACACTCTCTCTTACCGGTCACTGAAAGTTCCAACATGGCACCACATGGCAAAGAACTCTCTGAGGATCTTAATAAACGTATTATTGCACTACATAAAGATGGCCAAGGCTAAAAAGAGCAGGGTCCACTCAGAACAGGCCTCGGTAGGTTGTGATACACTGTATATAACATGAAAGGAGGGGGAAGGGGGTGGACCCAATAACGAAAAGTATACAAGAAAATATTCAAACTAAAATAAAATATGTTAGTAAGACCCATGCACTCTACAGAAAAAATAAGAGTATTCTGCCGATAAGCATAATAAAGAAACTACCTCGCGAGAGGCTAGGGAGGGATAAAAATAAATTACGGCTGGATACAACATTTATTCGCATTAACTATGGGAACAAAAAGTGTCTACCTTAATCAGGGATGGGTTCTGTCAGGAATCCGTTCCTTTGTGCCAACAGGTGACTAAAAAAGAAAACCAAGACTGGCCAGATCTGATGAGAATAACATTCGTCTCGTAAGTTTCCCTTTATCCGTGTCGTTCACACCACCATCTTTGCCACAGCTAGCAGCGTTAGAAACACCATCCATTTCACCCCAGTCCACGGGGACGACACATTATCGGGCACATATGCGAGATCGATGGACGCGTGATGTTCGTGATCGATATAAGCCGTCGACTCGCCCACAAAATCCCCAAACCGGCGCATCTGAGGACAATGGTAGAAGGCGTCCGCGGCCGTTTCAATCGGACAAATCTGCCTCGCCCGTCATTGAGAGATGTTCCAGATCGATCGCCAGGTAAGCGAAAACTCAGAGTTACTGAGGTAATACACTACTGGCGCTTAGGACCAGAACCTCGGTTGCCGACAAGCCGAGCAATTTACAGAGTAGGTCCAATGCGAGCCCTTCCACTACTTTCCGATACAAAGTCTAGGCCGTGAAAAGTTCACTATACCGAGGATTAAAACGCAAGGCCTCTCGACACTCGATAAAGAATTCGGGCTGATTCCGAGGTTTACGACCTCGGAACGGAAAGAACTAAAGCTAACCAACAAACCTCCTGAAGAGCCTTTTAAAAGTAACACCCTTCTAAGCACCTAACCACACATCGGAAATCTTGTTGCGGTTAATATTGTTCCCTGTGACCTTCTCCTACCGTTCAAGCGCCTTCTGTACCACCTCAATGTCGCTGCGAAACCAGGCTCCTTGATAAATCGGCTCTGGAAATGCCACTGTAACACCTCGCACATGTTATTGCTTCAGCACAGGGTACACGCATCCTGTCGAATGTAATGATCAGAACCTCGACGTATTAACCCGTTCATTACTGCGCCCATGTTCATGGCTTCGTTAGACATATTGTTTAACCTATGTCCAACTCCCTGACATTGGTAGCACTCACCGGGTGAGCCCTCCAGGCCTGCCTAACTAAGTCTATCTCTAAGGACTCCTTCCCAGCCTCCATCCGTGCCAGACTTTCCTTAAATGCTTTCACCTTTTTAGCCTTATCTAGTCGATGGCTATATTCGGCGGTGAAGGACCTATTCCTATCCTTAAACCTCTCCTACCACTTATTCCCAATAACCGCCCTCGCTGCAGTAGTCTAGTCTGCTGTTGCCAAAAGTCACTAAAGAAAAGTTGTTCCATTGTAGACCTAGAATCTAACGCCACCCTGAACAGTCTAACCTAACCTAACGTGGGACAATCAAACAATTCTAGATCGATCATTCTCACTAACATTATATCCAGGCTACCCCGGTATATGGCTCCTTAAGTGACCACGATCACATCTCCCGCCCAGGTATCTATCGACGATACCAAACTCGGCCATGCTGTGACCACTCGACTTACTGCAAGCTCCTCCTATCTATGCTGGGGTCCAGGATAGCATTCCAGTCCTCCATTGGGACTAAGCGCGACGGATCCACCAGCAATGTCCCCAAATGACGGGAAAACGAGACACGCTCCATCTGGTCGTTGGGTGCATAAACCGCAACGATCTAAAACGAACTACTTTTCACTGCAATATCAGCCACAACCAACCGGTCCCTCGCATAAAAATGGACAAGGTTCACCCGCGCGCCCATGGTACGCTTAACCAGCAAGGAAATACCTCTGGCCAGCTGGTGCCCGTATGCTTAATAGACAACAAATTGGTTAGACAGTACACGAGCAATCATTTTGCAAACAAAGTGTGTCTCCTGGATTGCGGCCACATCTACCCCGAAGGACAAGAGGTCACGTAACAAGCGGGAAGAAATTACTTCGATCCTTGTGGCCCCTTGCATTTAAGCAAGCCAAATTGAAATCCACTTTAATGTACAACTTTCACAGCAGATTGGACAGAAATCAGTGGGGACAGGACCCCGATGGATGGATCCTAGAGCCCATGTCAGACATAATTCGTCTATCTAGGACAATCCAGGCGACATCCGTGAGGAACATTAGTTGTAAGGCCCTATAAACAGAATAATCGGAGCCCTTCCTGTACAGAGTTCCATATTAGCGTGATGGTTTCTGTAGCATCTGATTTTCCGCCAACGGTGGTTAATTTGAATAACGGCTTTAAATGCTTGTGGGCGGAAAATGGGATTTTGTTTTAGCAACAAAGTTTATTGCATCTTTGTTTGAGGAAAAAGTGTTGGAATTTAATTTGAGAACAATATTTTACAAGTTCACATTCTCGCTATTTTTTCTATCCTCACTCCGACCTTTCTTTTTACTTTCAAAACCGGCTCCGAAAACCATGATTCTTATCAGAGATAAGAATATATTTTCTGACTAACGAGTGAGTCGGAAAATATAAAAAGGAATTCCACCACCATTATTCTTTCCATGGTGCCATAAAGTCTGGATGAAACCTCACAGCTTGTTCACTCCAACCTGTTTTCATTACTTGCAAAACCGACTCCCAAAGACTTGATTCTTATCAGAGATAAGAATGTGTTTTCTGACCAATGGAGGGGCCAGGAAATTTGTATAACGATTTTGGAGAGAAAAATCCCCGATCCTTCTGAGCCTCCCAAATTTCCATAAATTTGTAGAATCTACGCCTATTGAGTGAGAATTCGGCCCATTGGTCAACTTCAGAACCACTTTCAACTAAAGAAGAACTATCTGCTAAAGAGCTGTCGACAACGAACGTCAGCCCACTACTTAAACCATTTGAAAGCTGCATCCCTTCACCACTTCTGTCATGCCCACTGGACGTCTGTCGTCGACCTACGAACTCACTCAACTGCAAGATTCCTATATCTACCAAAAATTTCCTACTCTACAGGAACTGTGAGTGTTTCTGAACCTTAACAAAGTTCTACTCGCTTAAAGAAATTTTAGGCGCTCAGAGAAATATTTTGAGCAAGCCTTTTTTTCTGTTATGAAAATTTTCTCTTCCCTTAAAGGACATTTTCTTCTCGCTTTATTTCACTCCTAATTGTTTTTATCCCTTTACCCTTTTTCTGTATATGTAAATAAACACTTTTTTCTTTTATTGTTACAAAAGTTATTGTTAGGAGTTTTTTCTTTATACGTCTGCGCCTAAAAGAGAAAGTTTGTCCGCTCTAATCTTGTTTTTTTTACTCGTTTTTTTTGGATGGGTTGGGGGAGGAGATATTGAAGCCAAGAGAGGCAAGAGGGGAAGCACTTACCTTACCTTGGCAATCGGGTTCTTCAGTTCATGCTGGCGAAGCGCGGGTAGATTGGATCTTGGCTTTGTTCATGGCCTCCACCTTGCTACGACCAGATTGAGGATCTCTTCCTAATCTTCCTCCCTCCATCTTTTCACCGAGATGGAAC